AGATTGGTCCCAAAAAAAAATTTTTCCAACTTTTTTTAGGCCCCCCCCCCCCCCCCCCACTCAAAAAAAGTCAATTTTCGTCAAAAATTTCGAAATTGAGATAAATGCATGGGAAGATAGCCCGAGTTCTGCTCTTTCAGAAACAACATGATTTTTAATTTAATACCTCATTTTTGGCCAAAATTTTTGATGATTTCCGTTGAAAAATATGCGTTTTTCAGATACAACGGAAAATGTTTTTCGTTTTTTCTCGGTTTATGATTTTTTGATTTTCGTTCCAAGATTTCTCGATCCAGGCTCAGTAAATATATTTAAATTTTTTTTTGTTTGAAAGAACGCGTCGAGATGCAGGGCAATATAGAGTCCTTTTTTTAATTAAGCTTTGTTTTTTACTATGTATACCAACACAGACATCAATTTTTGGCGCGTTTTTTGAGCCATTGAACTTGTGATCCCCCTTTTCCGCTAAAAAAGTAAGAATTTAAAAAAAAGGACTCTATACTGCCCTGCATCTTGACATGCTCTTTCAAACAAAAACAAATTTAAATATATTGACCGAGGCCGAACCGAGAAATCTTGGAACGAAAATGAGCTATTTTTGACCCTTGTTTGGTTCATATCTCAGTTAAATGTCAGTAAATCGAGCTGAAAATTTTACCACAGCCTCCCCACTTCAGCCCCAACATATGCTCCAAATTTCAGCCCATTTGAACGTTCCTGGGCTGAGATCGATTTTTGAGTGGGAGGGGGGGGGGGGTGAGGCCTTAATTAATGCTGATAATGTTGATGGATGTAAATAAGACTGTACTCGATGAACTTCTTCATCAAGACGTTGTGATACTTTTCTCAAATATTCAGTAACAGAATTATGAAGAAGAAAAGTCGCTGCTTCTAATCTATAGAATTGTTTTGTAGCTTGAAAAAATTGTACTTCAAAAAACTCTTTATAAATTGTTGTCGGTGTTGGTGATGTCATTTGGTTATTATTTGTTGTATCTTCCGTAAAACCCAGTGCGACTAAAAGTATTGAATAAAGAATAAACAGATAAGAAATTTATTGATCTATTTTACCATAACTTTGAATTACTCCACTGATTAAATGAGTATTAATAATTGCATTATTTCGTTCAGATTTAATTAAAACAAGACAAGCATGTGTTACTTGTTTATATAATGGTTGAAAAACGTCTTTTTGCCAATTTTTCATACACGTCTAAATCATGCTACTATACATTCAAAACCTCAGAATGAACTTTCAGACTTACAAATACTTCATAAATATCTTGAGATTGAGTATTGTGCTGTATCCAATTATGATTTAGGTATAAACAAAAGCCATTCACTGCTTGACTTGAAAATTTATATTTGTTCGAATTCTCTTTATAGAAACGAAGGACATCATCGCCTGGTAAATCAATACCATCCTGGAAAGATATGAATACCCATTAACAATTTCTTTAGAATAAAAACTCTGGTAGAAAATCTATATAGCTATTATCCATTTCAAAACAAGAAAGGTGGGTGGTTATTTTTATAATAACTTTGCACCACAACCATCTGTAGGGTCCGGGTTAGTGTCGTTTGATAGGGGCTTACCCAGTGCATCGTTCCATGTAAAATTGTTGATGTTCAGTTCATGAGCAGGTAATGATTTATGTTCATCTTGAAAGAGTAGGTTGCTGTTCTATGAAGATAGAATGAATTCTAAATTTTGAGTGAACTATAGCCATCAATTCAAGGTTTACAAATCTGGAAAGGCTAATATTTTTATCTAAGGTTCAAAAGTTCTGAGCCAAACATTGACAGCATTTGACGGAGTTTTTATCAATTTTACCTGACTCATAACATTTTTGGTATTGTTATTACTGATGTTTTTGATCGTGGTGGATCGATTGACAATGTTTATTTCCTTGTAGGACAAGTCTTTTTCTATCAAAATATTACTACTGGCGATTGTGCAATAGTGCTTTCATATGTTCTTACATCGTCAATTTGGAATATGTGCATTATATTTCCTGAACGCTTCTGATTGTAAACACCACATTTTAAAATTGATTTTTTTTATGATAAATATGAAAAAGAAACAGAAGTGTCGCATGTTGTCGATTGGTCATCGGATCGACTTCTTCCTTTGCGTCGATCAATTGTTTCTCGACTTCTTCGATGAATCGATCAGACTTCTTGAAGATATTTTCGATCATGCATGTTTGATCGATATATTCTCTAGCAGTCACTCTACTCAAAGATGTCATACATTGGTAGGCTAAATGCCCAACGTCATTTAGGCTAAAATTAACATTCTTGTCACGAATAGAATTTTTTAAGTCAATCCATCCAAAAAGTAGTAATATTTTGATGGAAAAAGACTTGTTATATAGCAAAAGAATCATTGCCAATCGATCCACCACGATCGAAAACATTAATAATGACAATTTGAAAAATGCTACGCGCAAGATGAATTTGACAAAAATCCAGTCAAATAGTATTAGTACAACTTTTGAATGAATTGAGATAAAAATTTCGACCTTCGTAGTTTTATAGATCGTCAACTGGCGATTCTAGTTCACTATTCAAAATTTCAAAGTCATTCTATTTTCATAACACAACAGTCTACTCTTCCTAGGTGATCATTAGTCAACATGTGCTCATGAAATGAACTCCAACGATTTTATATGGATTGATGTGTTGGGTAAGCCTCTTTTAAACAACACCAATCTGAACTATATCGATAGTTGTACAGCAAAGTTATTGTAAAATACCCACCTGTCGTTTTCGTCGAGATGGGCATTAGTTTTTTAAAGTCTTTGGATGTACAACTAAAAATTCCAACAATAGAATACATTTAGACACTAAAAACAGAAAACTCCAAGTTACCTTTTTGGTATCTTTCTCGATGCGCGTAATTTCTTCGCGTCCTTTCTGGAGAATAAAGTCTTCAAAAGCCTTTGAGAAGTCATCTTTAATATAAGTTATTTGACTAATCGATTTGAATAGGCCATCCAAATCTACATGGATAATTAAATGAACAAATAAAATATTCTAATGAAAAATAATTTACCATGATAAGTCTCTGTTTCTAATGAACGTTTTATTGCATCAATAAGTTTATTCAAATAATCTTGAAGTGTACACTTGACCAACGTTTGTATTCTTGCCTCGGGTAAATATGAATACATATGGTTTATATATTCTATACGTTTATTAATAAGTTGAATTATCTAGTCAAAAATAAATGAATTTAATTAACAATAATAATGAAATTATAAAGAAATAAAACTAACTTCATTGATATATTTAATTCTTGATCCTTGTTCATTGAAGGAATTTGTTTGATTTCGAAGAAAAACTTTTATTTCTTCAACAAATTTATCTTCAAAATAATGTTTGTAGAGATCAATTGTTTGGGAATTAGTGTCAGATGGTGCCGTTTTTTATTGAAATTTGGATTTCCTACACATAAATAATGAAACTAATTAATATACGTTTTTATATTTTACCATAAATCTCAATGATCATTTTCACGTGTTGCAAATCAATTTGCTGATTTTCGCGTTGAGTACGGATCAAATTCCAACAAGATTCTGCTACGGATTCAATAAGTGGTGCGAAATTTTTTTTTTCCCAAAATTCTTTGCAGATCTAAAAACAAAAGTTTTTCAAAAATAAAAAAAATATTATTTACTTCATCGATCTCCTTGCGCTTCCATAGACGAAAACGCATATTTAGATCTGTCGAAATCTTGCAGAACTGCTCACTTATGCAGTTGTACTTTTTCCAATGATTTCCATAAAATTGCAGTTTGTCTTTATCTGACATAGTCTTCGCTTTCTAAAACAAACAAATCTTATTATTTGAAAATTAATTGACAATAAATATCTTTATATATACGAACAGTAAAGGGCGCGTCATGAGAACAAACAAATGTGATAATCTCGTAGAGGATTGAAAAGAAGTGAAGAGATCAATCTGTTTATCTCAATCAACACTGGCATTTCTATCCAACTATTGTTATCAATTCTTTCTTGTGTTAAACAATAAAAAAAGATATCTTACATCGCATAAATCTTGCAACATTTGTGGAAATGTCTTCGTTATAGCAGAATATATCGACTCAAAGTTAGACCAATAGTTATTAACTCCTGGATGACATGTCCTAAAAAAAGTAAAAGTTGTTGAATGATATAAATAAAGTAAGATGTAAAAACGTACATTTGTAGTTTCTCAAGTGTCTCAGACTTAACAGTTTCAAGTGAATATATTTGAGTTAGGAATTCGTCCAATGTTTTCGGCAAATCGTCGTGCTGTATATTCCACATTCTATTTAACTGGAACACAAATAAAATTATCAAATGAGAAAATTATTATTATTATTATTTTAATAGAAATGTTCAGATTTTCGGAAAAGTAGGATGGGTGTGGGTGTGGGTGTGGTGTGTGGGTGTGGGTGTGGGTGTGGGTGTGGGTGTGAGGGTGTGGGTGTGGGTGTGAGGGTGTGGGTGTGAATAAAGAATGAACCCACACTCACACCCACACCTTCCTTCGAAAAATCTCTATAGAAAATCAATAATCTACAGCAGTATACAGTTAAAATTGCTTCAAAATAGAATCATGAGCGATTCTGAGAATGTGAGTGTGGGTGTTTATGACCTACACCCACAGTCACATAAAAAAGTCGCCTTCATTGTCAATATAACATCAAATTTGTCCACTATTTTTTCATGTTTTTTTTGAGATGAACAAGAATTATCTGTTTACTATTCATTTTCTAATTAAACTAATCGTTTATTTAGGAAAAACAATCACAACTTTTCTTATAACCAACGATTAAAAATACCTATTTTATCTGGAATAGGTTAATCAGCAAGTTTGGATATTTTATAAGAGTAAGAGAATTCATTGGTCCTTTTTTTCTCGATGTCGTCGATCTATCTTTCTTAACGAATTGTCAAGCGAAGAACATTACTCCAGCAAGAGATTTGAATTGATATTTGAATATCTTGCAATTGCTTATGTAACCAATGGACAAGCTCATCTTCTGTTGAGTTTTCATATTCGTTTTTGTCCTTAACTTCGACATTTATAAATCTTAGATTCGGCATCATCTGAATCAGATAACATATTAATGTTCGATCTGTTACCGGAATGTGAAGTTCTTCACATTGCACAGCAAAAGAGATGATTGACTCAATTTCGTACATTTATTCATATCATAAAATGTATAAACTATGCATAAATCGAGCTGTTTGATCGATGAATTTTTGATGGTTAATAGTGGATTTTCTGTAGACCGATCTCTGAAATGGTATCTACCCATGCCCAATGACAATAGACGAAGTGCACGAGAAATTAAACGTTCCAGCTGATTTTGACATATTTCATCATCATCATAAACATTAATATTAAGTGAAATTAAACGATCGAAATTCGGAACAACTGACCAGAAATTGTCATCGACAGGTAATTTTACTCTCAGTTTCTCTAATTTGTAAAATTGAATATCAAACACATCGGTACATATACGTGGGTTAACATCGTATTTCAATATACGTACATAATCATATGACCATTGGCTCTCCTCTGTTGGACAAGTGGATTTTCCATGCAATAATTCTGCGATATAAAATTTATCAAACGCATAGGGTAACGTGTAGAGTGCAAGAATTCCGGGTCGCGAACCCCAATCACATCGAACAAACCATTGATGTTGTTCGAGCCAAAATGGACTTCGCTATGTGTCAAGGAATCGATCGACATCGTGTTCCTGTATACATCCTCCCCATCTTGGCCTCTCATTAAGATGGAATATTTTCAGTTTCGATAAATAAGTCGAAATCGTTTTTTCCCAATAATTTCCATTAAATTGAATATCACAAGTTACTTTCAATCGATATAGATTTGGCATAAATTGAAGAATGTTCAAAATAAGATCCCTGAACACAGTCTTGAATGATATCTCCAAAGAAGTGATTAATAAAACGGGTGATCTGGGATATTTGTGTCCAAAAGAACTAGAAAAAATTGTCGAGATGTGCTGCACATTAGATGTATGTCGAAAAAGACGATCCAGATCTAATGGATCAGTAGTATCAATCTGAATATGCAGATTTTCAAAGCTTGATGAGACAATATTTGGGTGCTTAAAGGAAGGTTCCTCACGCGTACTACACATTGTACTGTAAAAGTGACGATGAGTGAGCTTCGGCAGA